ATGGATAGACCAAGCTGTAACCCTACTTTGGAACGATACCATCTGCCTCATTTACAACCCATAGAGAATTTTGTTGTTATGCCAGAAATACTACAGCTTTACTGCTAAGCGTATATATATATATATATATATATATATATATATATATATATATATATATATATATATATATATGTGTGTGTGTGTGTGTGTGTGTGTGTGTGTGTGTGTGTGTGTGTGTGTGTGTGTGTGTGTGTGTGTGTGTGTGTGCGTGTGTGTGTGTGTGCGCATGTATGCTACCTCTGCACACATCCGCAAATATAGATAGATATACAGATTTATATATATATATATATATATATATATATATATATATATATATATATATATATATATGTATATGTGTCTATCTATCTATGTATGTTTGTATGTATATATATATATATAGATAGATAGATAGATAGATAGATAGATATAGATATGCATATATATAGACATATACATGTATAAACACATATATGTGTGTGTATATGAATGTTTGTATGTATATAGTATATATATATATATATGTGTGTGTGTGTGTGTGTGTGTGTGTGTGTGTGTGTGTGTGTGTGTGTGTGTGTGTGTGTGTGTGTGTGTGTGTGTGTGTACATACATATGTGTATGTATATATATATACATATATCTATAGGACTTTCATATAACATTTCCAAAACCCGTAACACTTTGATACATGTTTGCCCTTTTCGCGTACAATATTGGAACCTGCTGATACGGTTTGATACACGCAGGCCAGCCAATAAGAGCGGGATATTTTTCAGATATATTTCATGTAGTCTCAGATAGGGATTTATAATTTAATTGATTAAGAATAGCATCGTAAGTTTCTCGATATACAATTTTTTTTTTATTATAAAGGTGAATAAAATGTTTCTGTGCCTTTCTAGCAGTACATTAATTTACATGTTCTATATGGATAAGATTTGGTAAGAATCTCCAACGTGTCCAAGTCATATGACATGTTTTTGACTTCGGTGAGTTGAATGTCTTTAAAATAATTTTGTACGCCTATGGTATAACCTTACAAGCTCAAATATATCAAAGAACATACTGTGTATCTTGATTTGTTGATGAACTTCATTCAGTGAATTAAGTAAATGTCCGCAATCTTTGGAATTACCTACTTGTCTGATTAGGACATGGAACTCACTCGTGATGGATACGATAAGACACAAAAGCTTAATTAACTCTTATATGTCATATGAATAACAATGTATATAATAAGGAAAAATAACATTAACTGAATATATATATTTAAACTTTCCACAGCCTTGCAAAGCAGAGAGCGGTGTGTATAAACAATATAATTAGCAGAGCAGTCAGGTACTATTTCCTTTTTATTTGAAGCTTCCACAACGTTTCGCTTGTAATTAAAAATCATACCAGCAGACTAAGTACTTTAATGGTTTTCTATTGACTTTTTCATGTGAAATAAAACAAAAATAACTTGTATGTATGTCAGAACAAACTTTGATGATATCGTGTTTTAGCGACAGTGGTACAAAAAGACCTTATATATATATATATATATATATATATATATATATATATATATATACACACATGCATACATGTGCGTATATGTGTGTGTGTGTGTGTGTGTGTGTGTGTGTGTGTGTGTGTGTGTGTGTGTGTGTGTGTGTGTGTGTGTGTGTGTGTGTGTGTGGGTGTGGGTGTGTGTACATAGTCAGTATATAATAATTTATGACTGGAAATACTTCAGATATTCAACGAGATCAATAATGATTTTTCAAACAACGACACCAGCTTAGAAATGTAATAAGAACCCTTTAGTGTCAGCTCGCTCCAGGCTTTCCTATTTTGAGTGAAGCATTTTAAAATTCACTCTGTTGATTACTCCTCATAAATATCACCATTGAGGCTCTTAAATTCTCCGCCAAATATCCAACAACATATTGATTTTCATGAGTTGCCTGAGAGGACAATTTAAGTAAAGTCCCGGCATTAGTTTAATACGAGTCTAAATGTATATATTTATCTTGATCACTCCGAACAAAACCCGAGGCTTTGATGCTTCGCTTTGAGACATTCCACGCTGTTGTTGTCCCGCTTTCCGTCTGTAAACAATGTTTCGAACTTAGTCCTTTCAGTTTGTCTCTCTTTAACACTTTATCTGTCAGCCTGGTTTAGCTAAATGCTGAAATTTCCGCAGGCTCTTTTGAAACACAGGGCTGGAAGTTATGTTTTTAATAGAAGGCTGTATGTGCTTGAGGTGAAGATGATAGTGATAGTGATAATGATGAGAATGAGTGATTATGTTGACAGTGATAGTAAAAATAATGAAAGTGATGATTGTAATACGAATGAGGGTGATAATGATATTGATGATGGTGATAAAGATGATGATGACGATGATGATGATGATGAAGATGAATATGGTGATGATTATCATGATGAAAAGGGTGATGAAGAGGAGGAGAAGGAGGAGGAAGAAGAAGAGGTGGCAGAGGATAACTTTGAAGCCTTTAAAGAGCACAATCCTCTATCGTTAGCTTCAATCTTTGCTCATCTCACTACTGAAGAAATCTAATCATCTCAGTCGTCTTTAATCTTCCCTTGCTTAGCCATTGATCCATCTAAGATTCAACATTAATCTACCCTCATCAACCTGTGCTATACCCACTCTCTACCACAACTATATTCTTGAACTACCAACCTCTACCAAAAATCCGCTCATAATATTTTTTTATTTATTATTATTGTTATATTCATTTATATAAGATAGCCTCCAATACTTCTCCTTATGTTAATATTATGCTCCACTACATATAATCTTTGAGCTGTATTCCATGTGACTCTTAGTTACCTTTAGTTATTATTTCGTTCTTCCCAAGGTTTGATTGAGTTTTCTCGGGCACAGTGAAGTAGACGAAAGGAGGAAGAATAGCAGGCAAATTCTTTAAACTAGCAATTATATAGGTCTTTATTTGCTGGGTTTTATCTGACATGATTCTAGAGAGAAGACAAAGGAATAATCCTTATTGAAAATTTTACAGACTAGTGGTGTAGAAGTTATGTGATCAAAATATTGGGGGGTCCTTCTGAAAAACGTTCTTATGTGTGTATGGCATGGAGCTGAAGATTCCAAATTTCATATGACAGAAAAGGCTTCCTACCCACGTTTCTAGAATGCTCGAACACGACCACTATTTCCATTTACCTACCTCCATATAATTGTAGAGCTACGTAGTCCTGGTTTTCCAATAAGAGTGGATGTGTCCTGCGCCGGTTACAGCAATTGGGTGTGCTACCTGTTCGACGTCGGGGGCTGTCAAAACTAATTCCCTCTTGGAGAACTGACAGTCGAAGTATATATGCATTGCCATGCCTTCCGCATCGCCCTGCAGTGTCCTTTCAACTGATGTGAACACTTTATTTTCCCATTGTCAATATTCTTTATAAACGATACTCTCTCGATATATGGTACAAAAGTGGAACATCCCATTCAGATATATTGAAACACCCTTTTCCCGTCAAATAAATAAAGGCAATAGTAACCTCAAACAAAAACACGGCAACCCATTCTCCTTCACGTATCTTACCTCACAGCATCAGCAATGTCTTCTCCAGCATGACACTCTATATAATGGAAGGCTCCCGGACTCTTCTAAGATAGCGGTTGTGATACTTTTTTTTTCCTGATTATCCTTCTGAGGCAATCTCTTATTCCGACTTGCCAGCAGATTCTTTCCCAGCGGATTAGAGAACATGCTGTCTCTATATCCAGATTGGAAGTATTACTGCAGATATAGGATAGCTGTTCTCCAAATGTATTCTTATTAAGCTTTCTTTTCTACTGCTGTTGCTACTTCTGCTGTCATTGTTGATAGTATTGATGATAATAACAATGACGTTTATTGTAAAAATGATAATGATATTAACAATAATAATATGGATAATGGTAATAATAATGGTTATAACAATATAATGATAACGATAGGGATAATAATGTCAATAGTAGTAGTAGTAGAAGTAGTAGTAGTAGGGTACTACTACTATCATCATCATCATCATAATAATAATAATAATAATAATAGTAATAATAAAAAACAATGTATGATAATAATGATAGCAATAATAACAATGATGTTAACAATGATATTAGTAACAACAACACTAACAGTAATGATAATGATAGTAATGTAATGATACTATTATTTTTATCATAATAATAATTATTATTATAGTTATCATAATTACTGTTATCATTATCATTATTACTATCACTATTATCATCATTATTGTCATTGTTACTATTATTATTATCATTATTATCCCTATATTACTATTATTATATTTCTATTATTATATTATCATCACCATCATTATTTTCTTTATTATTATTATTACTATCATTGTTATTATCTTTATTATCATTGTTATTATCATTACTATTATTGTTATTATCATTACTATCATTGTTATTATCATTACTGTCATTAATATTATTATTATAATTGTCATTCTTCTTCTTATTATTATTATTATCATTATTATTATTGTTATTGATAGCATTTTTATTATTATTATTATTATCATTATCATTATTATTGATATTATTATTATCGTTATCATTATTATTGTTATTATCATTATTATTATTGTTATTGATAGCATTTTTATTATTATTATTATTATCATTATCATTATTATTGATATTATTATTATCGTTATCATTATTATTGTTATTATCATTATTATTATCATTGTTATTATTATTAGTAGTAATATCATCATCATCATCATTATCACCATCACCGCCACCGCCATGATCATCATAATCATGATCATCACCACCATCATTGCCAAGACTTTAATGAAATAATCTACATTTCATTCACAATTTACCTGTTTTGTTGACCTGTAAAGTACGTGACATTCGGCTTAAGTTAGTACACTAGTCTTTATAAAAATGCATCCCTCTGTGACGACGTGTAAGGATGAGAGGTAAAGATATCTTTGACGATTTTTGTACTAATTATAGACTAAAGTGAAAAGCGTGTAAGAAAAGGCCTTGTATAAAGAAGTTGGAAAATATACACAGGAAGGGGTTGTTAGCTAATTTAGTCTGAATTTGTACTGGCTTCATTAGATATATATGCAAGGTCGTTTGTAGTAACTTGTCCGTGGCAATATGTCACGACAATAGCAATGTTGCAATGTTAGATTTAGCATGACTAGCATCCTTACCAGAAAAAAATAATCTTTTATACGTCACTTCATCTTACATTGACACGTGCCTAAACACAATTACACGTGCGAGATTAGAGTAATTCGTACTTCTGCTTCACTGTTTGTCTACACTAAGCTGAAATCCCCACAGCTTTGGCCATTACAAGAAACAATATGACCAACTTATTTGATATAATGTGCACACAGTTATCATGCAGTATGATGCAAATCACCAAGAAGTGGAAAAAAACATCTTTTCCATTACGTGTACTGTTACATGAATTGAAATTCCAACTAGATACTTTATACATGATATAAGATTATATTCAATTGCAAGAGAGGGCCTTTAGATAGTGGATAGATAGGTGTATCCGAAAATGAATCAAAGTAATGGACAGAAAAGTAAAGTAAGAAAGGCAGGAGAAGAATAAATGTATGTCTTTATTTTGATTTGCTCTATAAGCCTTT